TCTCCTCTCTCTCTCTCCTCTCTCTCTCTCTCTCTCTCTCTCTCTCTTTCCCTATCTATTTCTATATTTGATAATAAAAACTATACTGTATAACTTTATATGTAACTATAATATACATTGATGTGCAGAATGGGATGTGGGTTTAGTTTGCACGGGTATATGGTGGACTGCGCTGACCTCATAGCCGGGCGCACCAACAAGTGTCAGCCCGAGTGTCAGCGCGCACTCATAGCCCTGACCAGCACTGAAGAGGGTCAGGAGCTGATAGACTGTGACTGCGAGGGCTCCAAGTTTTGTGAACTCAATAAAGAGCGGATAGAAGTGTGCAGAGCGTCGGTGTTCGAGGCGGTGGCCGAGGGGTCGATAGTGTCGTGCTCTACGGCCCGATGGATCTGTTTGGCTGATCCCGTGTGCAGTACAGCCCTTGACTTTTACCACCGTTTCTGTCGCGGGCTATTCCATGGCAGGAGGTGTACTCCCAGATGTAATAATAGCTTATCGATTCTGGACCGACAGGAAAGGGCTTCCAAACTGAAGACCTGTTTTTGTGATGGAAGTGAGGACTTCCCGTGTCAGCGCATCAAACATAACACTCAGAGACTATGTTTTGGACAACAAGTTGAGTTCAGTGTTCACGACATCGATGACAATGAGATTGATATAATCGGACAAAAATCCATGTCTTCAGCTGATAAGCATTCAATGCACCGATTCGTGACATTCGCTGTCATTATTGTTTGGTATAAAGTGGTCAACAGTTGTACAATAAATATAGTTGTATTTCAATGATTAAATACACTGTAGTCTACAAAATAATGCAAATATAATTTAATACCAATTGTATCGATAGAATTCAAATGTATTACATAAGCATATTCTGCATCACATCCTCACACAACTGAATACATCCGTTGGAAACAACTGAACAAATACTTTGTGTTTCGCTTAAAAGCAATTATATATCTATTCATTTAAATAGAAATCGTTCACAAATTCAATCTCAAAATTTAATAGTTATATAATTGGAGCACAACTTTGTAAATTGGTATGCAGGCCATTAAGTGTGTTGTGGTTGGGGACGGGTATGTATTAAATTAAATTAAATTAAATTACAAATAATAATTGTACCGGTGTAATGTCTTGGTACTTTATTTCTATAGAGCTGTGGGTAAGACATGTCTTCTGATCAGTTACACCACGAATGCCTTTCCCGGGGAATATATACCGACAGTGTATGCATTGATTTAAACCAAATATAAGTTGTTATTTATTAATACAAATAAAATGAAGGTTTGATAACTATTCGGCTAATGTTATGGTCGATGGGAAGCCTATCAATCTGGGACTTTGGGATACGGCTGGTCAGGAGGATTATGACAGATTGAGACCCCTTTCTTATCCACAGACGGTATTATTAACAAATGAATGCAATTGAATATTGAAATATTAAAGAGAAAACTATTCCTAATTGTATTAACCATTGAAATGGTTGTCCAAAAGGATGTCTTCCTAATCTGCTTCTCACTCGTAAATCCGGCCTCTTTTGAAAATGTGAGGTCAAAGGTATGCTATCATTGGATTGTCGTAATCAATGAGTACCTCATTTCACACAAACGTCTTGCAGTGGTATCCGGAGGTGAGTCACCACTGCTCGCAGACACCAATCATTTTGGTCGGAACTAAACTGGATCTGAGAGACGATCAGAAGACGATCGACAAACTGAAGGACAGGAAACTGAGTCCCATTACGTACGCCCAGGGATTGTCGATGGCTAAGGAGATCGGCGCCACCAAAATGGTCCTCACGAGCCGAGAGTGGGTTTTCCCGGAGTTTTTACAGAAGCTACTCCGGTAGTCTAGACAAGAGACGGGATTCTGATTCGGATTCTCTGTTGTGTTTACGCGAGAAGACACTTTAAAGACTCATTTACCGTAAAAACAATTTTATTCAAATGGTATTCAAAAGTTTTATTCAATAAAAATATATACTTTTAGTGCATTAGATGTGGTATTTTACTGAATGTCCGGTGATTGGTAAATGATTTCAATACGATTACATGTAAAACTTTTTGCAATTCAATTAATTCTCAATCCTATTATTGTCTAATGATATGTGTCTACAGTATGTGTGAATCCAATAAAAGAAATAAAAATTGTTAACAAAACATACAATGACTACAGAATCGAGAATATATTCCTAGACTTATTCAATGAACACAGTATTCAGTGATTCACACAACTCACCTCTCGTCTCTGGCGTACCCTACAGTCGTGACTTACTGACGTGTATACAAACCAACAGTACATAACTGCCGATATATTTCAACACTTGTTGACTAACTGTGTTGTGACCTAGGGTAGAAGTGAACACAACTACTGACACAACATGTTATTGTCGACGACCAGAGTGTCTGTCCATCAGTTGCGAAGGTATGCGACGACGGCTGTGCCTAAAGACAAAGACCACTACCACTTGGTTGTGGTGGGCGGTGGAGCCGGAGGGCTGTCCATCGCGGCCAAGTTTACGGAAGTGTTGACCACTTTAGATAAGGGCAAAGTGGTTGTCATTGAGCCCAACGAGGTATGTCATCGCACCATGTCTTGTGGCATATCACCCATTGATTGTCAACCCATGAATCCATCAACAGATGCATTACTATCAGCCGATGTGGACGCTGGTGGGCGCCGGGATCAAGACTGTGGCCCAATCGGGTCGACCCATGGCTTCAGTGATGCCTCGACAGGTGAAGTGGATTAGAGACCGGTGTGTGTCCATAGAGCCCGACCACAATCGGGTCCGTTTGAGTGGTGCCAATGGGGTCCTGTCCTATGACTTCCTGGTGGTCGCCGTCGGCATTCATATCGACTGGAATCGCGTGAAAGGACTGACGGATGCCCTGAAGACACCCGGAGTTTGTTCTAACTATTCGGTGGAGACGGTCACCAAGACTTTGCCGGCCATTGAGGGCATCAAAGAAGGCAACGCTATCTTCACGTTCCCCAACACCGCCATCAAGTGTGCCGGCGCTCCGCAGAAGATCATGTATTTGGCGGACGCCTATTGGCGACAGGTTTGACATTCTTTGCATACCTTTCCAGCAATGGATTCGCTATTTTGCTTAATAATCTGTTATTTAAATTAGTTATTTCTAAACATTTAAATCGGTTTATGAGTGAATTGGTTATCCTATTATTGCTAACATTTATGCCGATACCTATAGTCCCGACCTCTTAAATGTGGTGCAACTCTGGGAACAGTTTTATTTAATCCTCTAACCAGACGTCAAGTAAAATGTTGATAATCATCTTAAACACGTTAAACTCTTTTTGATATTAAAAACAATCTCAAAAGTTTGAACATTGAGACTGTATTTACGGTATGAAACGGTTGCCGTTCAAAGTGGTAATCAATTAGTGGGAACTATTGCATTGTTTTTTAGAGATTTCATACGAGTTTGGAATTAACATGGTTTAGGTGGTGGTTTACATTTGATTAGATGGTTGTTATACAATAGATAATGTAGTGATTAGTAACGTGAAGGCCATATGAGAGCAATGTTAGTTCATTAGATAGCACTTCCAACACTTATTGTAAGTTATAATATACGGTAGTAATAAACTGCACTAAAACTGCACTCCAACACAAACTGAATAATGTTATGTTGAGATTCTGGTTGACATGGATTACATTTGATGGACTCATTACCATACAATTATGTAGCTAATTAATAAATGATTAATTATTAAATGAGCTTCCAATTCATTACTGATCATATTGTACCTGTATGAAATACAGTACGTGAGACATACTTATTATGAGACAGACATACTGTACTTACTGTACACCATAAGTGTTTGACTCTAATCTTGTTACCTTTGAGAGAAGTCCCATTCAAATGACAGATGCAATGATTAAAAGTGCACAAAGTTTTTAAACTTAAGATGTTTTATAAGTTTATAAACGCTAAAGTCCTCAGACCTTTGGATTAATGAAATTGTTTTGAATTTGAAATGAAAGCACGGAATCCGAGATAAGATAAACATAACGTACAACACGGCGTTGGGTGTGATCTTCGGAGTTCCCAAATATGCGAAAGCGTTGAACAAAATCGTGGACCAGAAGAATATAAACGTAAACTATAGACACAATTTGGTCGAAGTGGTGGCCGACAAGAAAGAGGCCGTCTTTGAGGACTTGGCGTCCAACGAGAGAAAGCGATTCAAGTATGATATGCTTCACGTAACGCCTCCCATGAGCGCACCACCACTTGTCTCTTCGTTAGCTGACCCCCAGTCCGGGGGCTATATGTCCGTCAATAAGGAGACGTTACAACACGTGAAGTACGAGAATATCTTCGGAATCGGTGACTGCACTAACGCTCCCACCTCTAAGACCGCGGCCGCTGTGGCCGCACAGACGGGCGTTGTCTCCAGAAATCTATTAGCGGTCATGAAAGGGAAGAAACCGTACGCCCACTACGACGGCTACACCTCCTGCCCATTGGTGACCGGCAATAATAAATGCATTTTAGCGGAGTTTGACTATAATCTGGAGCCGTTAGAGACGTTCCCTATCGACCAGTCAAAGGAAAGTCGTCTCATGTATTACATGAAAAAGGATTTGATGCCTAATATGTATTGGAATGGATTGTTGAAGTAATAGTGACTTTAATATTGTATTTGTATTGATACTAATGTTTATAATTTAATTTGTGTCCAACACAGAGGCATATGGAATGGCCCCCAGTTTTACCGCCGTATTATGCACTTAGGGATGGGAAAGTAATGTTCTCATACACTGGTGCTTGTTTTCAACTGTTATTATATTTTTGTTTGTTAAACTAATAATGTAACTAAGATTGAATGTTAACTTTTTTATAGTTTTTGTATGAATAATTACTTGATCAAATATTAGTGAGATTGAAATCATATTTATTTACTGTAAGTTTATACCTCTTACCGTATAAGTGACTGAATTATTATATGATAAATTGTGAATAAAATTATTTAGATGTTATCCCTATACAGTTATACTTTTATTAATTGGATTTTTTCTTTAATAAAATTATTTTCTATAAGTTAATTACCGATATTAATTTACTTGATAATGGCATAGATTTGTTGTATCTAATGGACCAAGATAATTTACATGTAATTCATTTTTATAGATTTACACTAATATTTTGCATGCAATGCGAGACAATACCATACACTTGACAATACACTGCAATCATAATCACGTTATGACAACAATTATAATTCATACGAATAGCACTCATAAAATAGACTTAATTTTATGAATTTCCAAACCCAACGACAGTTTGTTTGAGAATTGGTTCACAATTTTATCCATTTATTGATCTATTGATTGACACAAAGAATAGACTTCAGAGTCAGAGAGAAGACAATCAATGGACTCGAAGACAGAGCCGACCGAAGAGGTGATCGTCGATAAGTTTCCCAAACTTCACTCCGACACTCGCCACTGCCATATATGTGTCTTCTGTCACCAACACCTCCACAAGATCTGCTCCAGTGATGCAAACATCGCTATCATTGCTGTGACCAATGACGGCTCTGCAGGTGGAGAGGGAGCCGGCAAAGGCTCACATTCCTCACACACTACGACCGTATCGAAAACGTCTTCAACGGACTCTTCGGGTGGGAAGAAGTCTTCGAAGGACTCTTCGTCCGGCGGATCGTCGGCTGCGGATTCTTCAGGAGGTATTGGCGGCGGAAGCGATGGTAAGAAGAGTTGGAAGAAGGATTTGGCCGAAGAGGAAGAGGCGAAACGCAAGAAGAAAGAGGAGGAGGAAAGCCGTAAGAAGAAGAAACACGAAGAGGAGGAGCGGCGCAAACAGGCGAACGCCAACACAGAGTCCACTCATAAGCCGAGTCACGAAGAGTTCACCAAAAAGAAACAGAAGGACTGGTGATCACTGGACTCGCGAGGAATGGTCTTATTATCTATAGATATATCACAAGAAAATGATTGAAATATTTATTGTTTTTATACAAAAATTATTCTCAAAATGTTTTGTCGAAGAAAAATGATTAAAATTTGGTTTTAAGACATTTCATTGGTTTTTAACCTTTTCATACAAATGGTATGATCTTATTATTCATTTTGTATAAAATTTTTGTAAATTAATTAAATGTTTAACAAAATGAAAGGTTTACTTTCAATGATGTTAAAAAGTGCAGGTAATGGTTAAACATTTGTTATACCGTAATACTGATATAAGACAGGTATTTAAACAGATGTGGAAGTGTTTAATAAGTCTTATTGTTATATGTTTTGGAAAATAAGTTTATTTACGATAAAAAATTACATTGAATTGCATTTAAAAGTATTGAATACAAGAAAATTTTAAGACAAATTTACAGGAAATAATGAATTACTCAAAAACTAAACTAATAGTGTATTTAAAACACAAAACCAAAAACTTTTCAGACATTTCGTATTAAATACATAACAAACAAATAGAGGACAAACGCCTGCAAACTGAAGGCGCAGTGATTAGCGCCCGACCGGTGACCACCACTATCGCCGCCATCCCCTCCTTCAACCGCAGCGCCTCCTCCTCTACCGCCTCCGCACCCGAAGAGCTCCGAGTTTTGACGCCATTCCTTACAGCCTTTCTCGCCAGTGACGGGTCGGAAGCAATGCTGATTGCGTTTGAAGAGATATACATAGTATTTAATTTTCGGGTCCACCGATGGGTAAACCATGGCTGCGGTCAAGTCGGTCGGGTAGCTCTCGTTCACGCCGTTGACGTAACCGCTTTTGTCGGCCGTCGGCGTCGGCAGTTTCCTGTCCGCCCGAAAATAGTAGACTCTGATGCCTCGGAACATCACAAACATGGGGTAACCCTTTTTGTCCAGATCTCCGTCGTTAAAGACAGCGTTGTAGCCCTCCTTCAGGCCGTTGAAGTCGAAACCCATGGCACCGCCCTCTTTCTGGGCGTCCGACTGATCCCAACTCCAGTACCGGTTTTTGTCGAGGCGAAAGGTGTAGCCATTGTAAGGGCCCGACACCACAGTGGACACGGATATCTTGCGGCTGACGGGAGCCATGTATTTGGGCCACTTGTCGCTGATCTTGAAGGGACCCTTCACTTTGGCAACTCTATCGGGAAGGCCTACCAGTTCCCAGTAGTGTTTGTCGCGAAACACACGGTAGACATTGTCAGAAGTCCTATCGGCGGCCGTGATCTCTGTGTTGGAGCAAAGGCTGGTCGCCTTCTCGATCTGATTTGACATTTTTAAATTATATAAATAAAGTATTTTATAACATAAATGGTATAAACCTGGTCTTCGGGATAATCATATTGCAAATCATTCTTTACTGTCGACGCTATCGTCGCGATGATAATTAAAGCCTTTAATGGATTCATGTGTTTAGTAATGGAAAGTGATGTCAAGTATAGAGTAATTAAAACGATTTTTCTATCAAATTAATAATTGTAGACTCTTTTCAGGGAATTTATAAACCGTTTATGAAGTTTTCGAAGCTCTTATGAATGTATAATATTTTATAGTAATTTGAATTATGCAAACAATTAATAACAATCTCGAGACAAAAGCTTGAATCTTACATGAATTTTATTTGATCCATTTGATTTTGTTTGTTTTCAATAACTTATTATAACTAATGAAAAGGTACCAAAATAATGAATTTAAATGAGAAGTTAAGTTAAGCCCGTTATGAATGAGGATTTATTTGATCCATTCATTAAGAAAAGACAAAATGAATATAAAAATTATTCATGTCTTATTTTATTGGTAAATAAAAAAATAATTTTTAGACAATTTTATGGATCTGTAAAATAGATGTGTTTAAAATATTACTTCAACGATAGGTTTGCATTGATTTGTTTCATGAGGACATCGATAGATCTGATCTCATCTTTGTCTTTGTCATCCAACTCCGACTCTTCTTCAGACAATTCATGCATTTCTTCGTCTGAGTTCTGAACAGAAGTCGACTTTTTCTGAAAATCGACTGAATTTTCAAACGAAACATAACTCGAGGTCTGGTCTTCAGGGGTGTCGTGAAACCTGTCGTTGAATGTATAATATTTTATAGTAATTTGAATTATGCAAACAATTAATAACAATCTCGAGACAAAAGCTTGAATCTTACATGAATTTTATTTGATCCATTTGATTTTGTTTGTTTTCAATAACTTATTACTAATGAAAAGGTATCAAAAATAATTAGATTAGGCGAACGTTTTCGGTCTACACCGAGACCTTCTTCATGGTTTAAGCGATGGTAACAGATATTGAATTAAGTATTAAATAATGGATTTAAATGAGAAGTTAAGTTAATCGCGTTATGAATGAGGATTTATTTGATCCATTCATTAAGAAAAGACAAAATGAATATAAAAATTATTGATATCTTATTTATTGGTATAAATAAAAAAAATAATTTTTAGACAATTTTATGATCTGTAAAATAGATGTGTTTAAAATATTACTTCAACGATAGGTTTTCATTGATTTGTTTCATGAGGACATCGATAGATCTGATCTCATCTTTGTCTTTGTCATCCAACTCCGACTCTTCAAGTCTGTTAAGTACGTAAAGAAGCAGACTCAAGACTTGTCTTCAGCTGAAAAAGACTTTTAGCTGACTTAAAAGTTTGCTTTGTATTGAGCTCCAGACCAGAAGTCCCCACAGCACTTTGGACAGCATCATATTGTCTTTGGTTCGGAGGTCTTCCAAAAAGATTCTTCTGTCCTCCACTTCGTCACCAGTTATTCGTCTATCGCTGGGATTCCTCTTATTTTTGAATAAATTCCTGAATCGATTGAAACCCCATTTCTTAGGCTTTTTACTCTTCTGGCCATCAAATGGTGAATCAGAATCACTGCCTATAGTCTCGTCCAACAAATCAAATTCTTTGTTCAAATTCTTGTATTCCTTTGCAATCATTAGCTTTTGTGGTTTATTTGATGACATTGTGTGCAATTGATTTGTAAATATAATGTATAGTCAAGTCTTTTGAGTCTTGATGTCATAAGTGACTTATGATAAGTCTAAGACTTGCATTTTTAAGTTTTGATTGGTTACAGTGCGCTTGTTAATTAAAGATCTAAATATACTGTACTTTACTAATAGAAACAATGGTAAATCTTAGTAAATCTTTGAGTCAAAATCGGGATAAATTTCTAACTTATAAAGAACTAAAAACAATTCCAATTATTAATATTTAATGTACTCTAATTATTTATAATTATACTGTACAGTATAAAAGTATAATCCACTATTAATAGTTAATGCATGAAATTCAAACTGTTTATAATTCATATTTTTCGGCAAAACTGTCAAAAACTGTAAACGGAAATATGTTTCAGTTTTGAATTGGATAATTTAATGGTAAGAATTTATAAACTACAAAATTATATTTTTAAGTGTCATTAATTTCTACAATCTCGTTTGTAGGTCATTGAATTTGATAGATATACTCATAGGAGTCAATTGATATGATTTACAAGTTGCTTTGTCGTTCAAATGTGAGAAGACTTCTAATAAACATTGAAATTGTAAACAAAAATCGATTTGAAATCAATAAACAAATGATTAGACAAATTGAAAACAACTCTAAAGACGATGTGAATAAACGAGGGACGGGTGGTAACAGTGAACAGGTATGACAGCAGGAAATCTCTAAGTGTACGGTATTTAATAGGAAATACTATGAATGAATAGCACCTGGAGGTTATTCCAGCAAAGAATCGGTTCCTTACGATGAAAGTGTCTCTTTTCATAGTCCTTCCCATTATTTTGCCGTTACTTTTAGTGAACTATGTGTTGAAGACATCAAACGATGGCTGCGATTGCGATGAGAAGGAGAAGATTGAACACGAAGTCGATCGCAAGTATTACGACAACTTTTACGGACCTATTCTAGTCTAAGAATCTATCCATCAAATTATCATTACTTATATGACATAATTTTATTAAATACTAAATGCTTATTAAAAGTATTATGTTTGATTTGTTTGTATAAAAACTCATAAACTTTTCTAAACATTAGTTTTAAACATTATTACCGGTAATTTATAAGTTTGATATCAATACAATATTTATGATACATTTGAATTTCATAAGTGATAAATGGTAAACTTAAGCGTGAAATTATGTCATAAACTTATTTAAAAATTTGTATGTTTTTTAAGATCTAAATTATTGTTGATCATTTTGTTTACAGACGTATTCTTATCTATTTTGGAGAAACACAAGTATAATATTGTGGTTTCCTTTGATACAGTTGTTTGGTTTTCTCAAAGAAGTCCTTTAAATCTTTGTCCAGCTCAATTTTCTGATCCCTACTACAATTATTCTCGCACTGAGCCATTTGCTCCCTTTCCTTCTTGTCCTCATCGATCATGAGAAAGACAAACCGCAGGTAAAGGAAGACTTAACTCAGGTTGAAAAGGTAGTTTAGGAAGAGGAAAGCCCAGAACAGAAGCTAGTGGTGAAAGACGACAAGGAATTCTCAGCAGTTTAGCCACCACAAATTCTGCGAATATCTGCCGACGTCTGCGCCATGAGACCAAATCTGATCCATACGACTGGTGTTATTCTTATGTCGATCAATGGCTGCATTCACTTCGTTTTGTGTATTCATGAATATCTGATTGATTTCTTGAGATCTGCGCAAAAAATTCATGTCCTGTTGGGCGGAGGCAGTGGTGGAAGCGGTGGTCGAGGCGTTGTTGGCCTCCTGTTCGTCGGCTCGAAGTTTGTCTAATTTGCTCTTCAATTCTGTCCTCTTCTTCTGGTATTTCTCAGACGACACCTTCATCGCCGCCACAAGACCTTCATCGCCCTCTTTGTACAGTTTGTTTAAAATTTTCAAATGGTTGTCCACTTCTTTGGGATCCATTCTTCTGCTGTGAGTGTGTTATCAACAATAATTGAGATCAAAACACTTCCTTAGCAAATGGTTATGAATTTGTGTTTAAGTTTACACATAACACATCATTTGTAACGTATTTAGTATTTTTTTGTCAATTGATTTCCAATTCACGAAACTATTTGAACTCAATTTCATTATTAACTCAGAGGACGAGAAATGATAGAATGAATGCATTGTTGTATTGAAGGCTATAAAAGGGACTCTCATTTGAAATTCACTTCATTTAGCGGTCAATAAAAGTCACAAAATTCTCATCTCTTTTGAACTCTATTTTCAAATTTGAGTCAAATATGAATCGCAATGAACTGGAAGTCGATTCCGAAGAGCAGAAGACACTGCGATCGGGCGGTCGGGTCATGGAGTCGAGGCATCGCCGCCGCAGTCGTCGTTCGGGCGGTTCGAAGGGCCGAAAGGGTCGCTCCCGGTCTGGGGGTCGACGCCGAAGGCGTTCCCATTCAAAGGGAAGAAGTGGTGGCCGATGAAGAAGGAGAAGGAGATCGCACTCCGGAGGAGAGGAGGAGTGAAATGTCGTTCCCTCGGAATCAAGACTTCAAACCCAAAGACTTTTATCAAAATTATGTTTGAATTGATTTATTCCTAAAATAAAACTCTTTTCAAAAAGATATTAAGTTTTCGTTTATTTAGTATAAGATTTGAATTATAAATAATCAAAGAATAGCTCAAAATATACCAGAATTTGAGTGAAACCATTGAAATATTCTTCAGTGGTTTTAAAGATAACGGGGTTTCTGTTAAACAGTTTTCTATTAATTCTAATGTGAAAATTCTTTGAGTTTATTAAACTTTATTTGATCACAAATTTTACAGTAAAATACCACATCTAATGCACTAAAAGTATATATTTTTATTGAATAAAACTTTTGAATACAATTTGAATAAAATTGTTTTTACGGTAAATGACAGAAATTTCACAGAAGAGCGCATTTGTGTTGTCTCTTAGGCTTAGTCTTAGGGCAGAGAACAGATCTGATGGCCTCATCGAAGACATTTTTGAGGCCCTTTTGGGTGAGAGCCGAGCACTCCTGGTATTTGGTGGCGCCGATCTCCTTAGCCATCGACAATCCCTGGGCGTACGTAATGGGACTCAGTTTCCTGTCCTTCAGTTTGTCGATCGTCTTCTGATCGTCTCTCAGATCCAGTTTAGTTCCGACCAAAATGATTGGTGTCTGCGAGCAGTGGTGACTCACCTCCGGATACCACTGCAAGACGTTTGTGT